AAAACTTTACCTTTGGTGCTTTAACGTGATGGACTCTGTTTGAGGAAATAGTAACCAACATGACAGGCTTAGGTGACCAAGCATTGCTGTGACAGACATGTGCTCCCCTGAAACATGAACCTGATGCATGATGGGAGTCTTATAATATGTATGCAGCTCACAGACCATGAACCTCTCCCCTATTACTCAAAGTAAGTAAAATCAAAAGCAAATGATTTGCACATAGAAAGATTTCAGAGACCCAGAGGAAAAGTGAAGAACATAGATAGAGATTGTGATTATATTTTAATTTTTATTCCACCCAAAAATCACAACTTTGGAAGAGAAATGGGTATGAAGTATCAACATAGCAGAAGCTAATGCAAGACTCAGCTTCCCGACTCATGACTTTAAGAGATGGCTGAGCCATGGCAAAAGACAGAGGAGATTTTATTAGGACAAGCAAGAATGCAAGACAGTAGACTCAAAGTCAAGATCGAATATATGACAGTGTCATCAAAAAGATGAAAACTTCATCTAAAATATATGCTACTGGAAACTAACAAGCTACCAGACATGACACAGGAAAGGTTCTCAGATAAAAGTTACAGGTAAGGAAGTTAAGATGAGAATATATTGTCATTCCAGAAGGATGGCACCACGAGGGAATTCATACCCCTTCTCCCTTTTTCCTCTTAAAATATCCATGACATTTTCTGTCAAAGGGTAAAAAAAATTCACATTAACACCCAAAGTGTTCGACAAGAATGTTAGCATATTTCATATTCTGTAGCAAATGTATACTCTGTCTTAAAAAGTTGGAGAAAATTACAAGTTGGTACCAGCTGCCAACCCAGTCCCAGAACTCTGCCTCCCAGGGGACATCGAGTCAAGAGAAGAGAGCAGCATGGCCCGAACACTGGCGGTGAGCTAAGTGCTGACACTGTACCCGTAGATGCACAACCAGGCCAGGCACGAGGGACCTCACAGTGCTAAGTTCAGACTTGAGCCCCAGATCCAACGAGTGCCATTCCTCTCATCTAAGAGGCGTATGCAGCAATCGCCCAAGCCCCAGCCACACCCTGATGCTGCAGTAGTACTGACAATATGACTACAAGAAGACAGATGCTGGCTTGACCCTTGCTGCAAATGGAGATTTATCAGGCCTCAGTCTCGCTCCCTTAGCTTGTAGTCCCTCTGTATTCATTATAATGATTATGAGTCAATTCTTTATTAAAAATCAACTCCTTAAATTAAGGAAGACACGCATAGGTCAGACTGGCCCTAAAGATCAAATCGCAACATGCAGAATTCAATTATCACCTCCACAGTTAATGTCTTAATGCTAGACTCCATTTTGAGATGCTTCTCAGCAACACTAGACCTTGATCAAACTAAGCAATAACAACTAACCGTTATAGTAAACATTTACCAGGAAAAAAAGAAAATTCTTGGGGAGAATATAAAGCAACTAAAACACCCACAAACCCAAAATGCAACAGTGATTTTATGTTTATTATTTATTTATTTATTTGAAAGACAAAGAAACAGACCTCCTATTTGCTGGTTCATTACCCAACAGCAGATGCAGGACCAGGTTGAAGCCTAAAACTGGGAACTAAAGCTGAATCTCCCACCCCGGTGACAGAAATTCAACTACTTGAGCCATTAGCTTGCTGCCTCTAAAGCTGTGCATTAGCAGCAAGTTGGAATTAGAAGTGGAGCTGGGACTCAATCCCAGGTACTCCGATTAGGGACATGGGTGTCCCATGTAGTATTTTACCTACTAAGCCAAATTCCCACTCCAAGCAGCCATTCTAGGAAAGTGGTTTAACCATTTCTTTTCAAGTGAAACATACATTTAGTATACAACCTAGAAATTCATCTCTAGATATTTACTCAAGAGAAATGAAAATATATATTTGCAAAAAAGCTAGTGATAAGTGTTTACAGTGGCTATATTCATATTCATCCAAGCCAGGAAATGCCCAAAGTAGCAGGAAGTATGCATTTCCCCCAGAACAATGAAAATGCACATCCACAGGCAGACTGGGACAAGATCACATACTTCAGTAGGAAAATAGTGAATATTAAAGTAGGAAGGGTAGAGAGGAGGAGGGCAGGGACAGGTTGAGTAACAGGTATCAGAATACAGTTAGAATAAGTTCCAGTGTTCAACACCACAAGAGAGCAGGTGCAGTTCAGAGTAACCCACTGTTCTGAAAAGAACCAGAAGACAGGAACTCTACGGCTCTAAACAAAATACATAAGGATGTAGAAATGCTCATTACCCTGATTTGGTCATTACATACTGTATACAAGTACTGAATTAGAATACTGTATCCCACAAATAAAGATAAATATTGTATGTCCATTAAAATCAACATTTTAAAAATAAAATATGAGCAGAAGTCTTGGACACTTCATGATGGAATGCTGTGAATGGACAAGAAGCCCCTCCTTGCAGGCCACAATAAAAGTGCTGGGCATCATTAGTCATTAGAGAAATGCAGATTAAGACCCCATGGAGGGGCCTGAAAGTGTGACACAGTGGGTTAATGCCCTGGCCTGAAACACCAGCATCCAATATGGGAGCCGGTTTGAGACCCGGCTGCTCCACTTCCAATCCAGCTCTCTGCTATAGCCTGGGAAAGCAGTGGAGGATGGCCCAAGTCCTTGGGCCCCTGCACCCGCATGGGAGACCTGGAAGAAGCTGCTGGCTTCTGGCTTTGGATCTGTGCAGCTCCAGCCATTGTGGTCAATTGGGGAGTGAACCATCAGATGGAAGACATTTCTTTCTTTCTTTCTCTCTCTCTCTCTCTCTCTCTCTCTCTCTCTCTCTCTCTCTCTCTCTCTTTCTCCCCTCTCTGTATAACTCTGACTTTCAAATAAATAAAAAAAATCTTTAAAAAAAAAAAAAGACCACATGGGGTGCTCTTACACAATACAATGGCTAGTGTAAAACAACTGATGGCCCTGAATGTGGGCAAGGATGGGGAGAAAACAGAATTCCCAAACATCACCTTAGAGAGTATAAAATGGTACAACCACATTGTAAACCAGTTTAGCAAGTTCTTCAAAAACCTTACACTACTCTAGAAGCCAGCTAGCTTATTGGTAGGTGTATTTCCCCCAGAACAATGAAAATGCACATCCACAGGCAGACTGGGACAAGATCACATATAACAGCACCTTTGCTCATCACAGCCAAACACGGGAAACCATGCAAATGGCCATCAGAGTAAGAAGGGGTTGCCAGCTGCCAACACGGGTCTGCTCACATCCTGCAGGGTGCTCAGCCATCACAGGGAACACACGAGGGTTCTGTGCAGCAGCAAGCATGGCTGAGCCACAGGCTCTGGAAGCAACATGACGTCTCATTCCACTAACAGGACACTCCAGAACAGACAAAACCCACGGCTGGTGAAAGACATCAGGAGTGGAGAGCAAGTCTGAGGGGGCTGCAAAAATTGGCGGGAAACTGGGATAAGAGCTCAGTTTATGTTGGTGCAAAACTTTTTGAAAGCCATGTGTACAAAGACGCTTCTAAAAGATCAGGTAAAGCGTGTATAAGAAATGACGCATGGATTTCAAAACTGTTTTGCATCAAAGTAAGCTTACATTTTAATTCCAGTTTTTCTAGAAACTTTTTTTTTTTTTTGACAGATAGAGTTAGTGAAAGAGAGACAGAAAGGTCTTCCTTCCGTTGGTTCAGCCCCCAAATGGCCACTATGGCCGGCGCACTGCACTGATCCGAAGCCAGGAGCCAGGTGCTTCCTCCTGGTCTCCCAAGTGGGTGCAGGGCCCAAGTACTTGGGCCATCCTCCACTGCCCGCCCAGGCCACAGCAGAGAGCTGGACTGGAAGAGGAGCAACCGGGACAAAATCCGGCGCCCCAACTGGGGCTAGAACCCAGGGTGCTGGCGCCGCAGTCAGAGGATTACCCTAGTGAGCCGCGGTTCCAGCCGACACTACAAGATTTGAAAAAGAAACACACACACACACACACACACACACACACCATAACTACAGGGCCCTATCATGGTAGCTCTCTGCTGCAGACATTCACAGAGGAGCTGCACTAGAACGCGGACAGAACTACTCCAATGGCCATGGAGGCAGGAACGCTAGAGCCGCGGGAACGAGCCTTCCATGACCCACTGGAAGAATGCAGACGACCCTCACAAAGATAACGCTGCCCCACAAAAGCAAGACACACATATCCGGGAAAAATAAAACTGGGCATCAGAAGACCAGAGCAGTGGTGGAACACAGCCCAAGAGGGAGTCCTGGGTTTCAGTACGGTTCTGTTTTTACTTTCTTTTTTATTATTATTTTTATTTTTTTTTTGACAGAGTGAACAGAGAGAGAGACAGAGAGAAAGGTCTTCCTTTTGCCGTTGGTTCGCCCTCCAATGGCCGCCGCGCTGATCTGATGGCAGGAGCCAGGTGCTTATTCTGGTCTCCCATGGGGTGCAGGGCCCAAGCACTTGGGCCATCCTCCACTGCACTCCCTGGCCACAGCAGAGAGCTGCCTGGAAGAGGGGCAACCGGGACAGAATCCGGCGCCCCGACCGGGACTAGAACCCGGTGTGCCGGTGCCGCAAGGCGGAGGATTAGCCTAGTGAGCCGCGGCGCCGGCTCTGTTTTTACTTTCATCGTAACACTAGTGCCACGCGTGCTGGGTCTGTGACAGTCCCTCAGCTGTACACCTGTGAATTCCGCAAGCTCACTGCAGCACAGGTCACACTTCAGTACGATTCAGAAAAGAGAGGCGGCGATGGCCTCTTCTCACTGAGGCGCCACGGGTACTTCTGGCCACAAGATGTTCACAGGGCCGGCGGGAAAAGTTCTTGCTCACTCTCCCTCCCTCCCTCCTTCCTCTCTCTTCTCCCGTCTCCTACTCTCTCTCCCCCTCTCTCCCTCTTTTCCACACCTTCCTTCCTCCATCAACCTTCCCTGTAGGAGGGGAAAATACCCGTTTCTCAGGAACAAAACTGAAAGTCCTGCGGTGAAAACTTACGGAAGCCGCCGTGGAGAACCGCTAGGGCCCCCGCAGAAAATCACGAAGAGAGTTCCAGCACGTCCCCGAAAACGGCGTGGCCGCCACGGGCCTGACCCTTGGCTGGGCTGGGTCTTTCCCAGCCTCAGACACCAGCTCCTGGCGGCTCCTGGCCGTTTCTTCAACGCTCAGGCTGGAACCCAGGCGCGCGGGAGCAGCAGGTCACGCGCCAGCAGCACTTCCGGTCACAGCGTCCCGCCGGGGAGCGCTGCGCACGGGGTGGGCGTCCAGGCGCAGCCGTTGTCCCGCGGGACGCTGCCCGCCTCCCACAACTGTGTGCAGGTGCGCTTCCGGCTGCTCGGCCCTTGGGATCCAGGGAGGCTGCAGGTGCCGGATCAAGTACTTGCGACTTGAATGCTGCAACCGACACAGCTGCCCCAGAGTTCTCGTGTGGTTGTCGTCCCTGGACCCAGAGGCCCTGTCCATGGCTGGGGGAAGAAATGATGAAGAAAAAAAGTCTTCAGCCCAAAGGAGAAGCAAAATGGAGCCCCACAGACTGCCGGCCTCGGCAGCTGCCCGGGCCTTGGCCAAGGTGGGCAAATGGTGGGTTGCAGAATTTTTTGAGGAACAACCATACTATTTTCCATAGCGGTTGTACTAATTTACATTCCCACCAACAGAGTATGAGTGTTTCCCTTTCTCCACATCTCCTCCGATATATTATCTTTCTTTCTCCATATCTCCTCCGATATATTATCTTTCTCATTTTTATGGCAGCCACTCTAACAGGTGTGACATGACATCTCATGGTGGTTTTAATCTGCATTTCTCTGATGAATAGAGATGCTGAATTTGTTTTCATACACATGTTAGCTATTTGTACATCTTATTTTGACAAATTTCTAGTCAGATCTTTTGCCCATTTTTCAGCTGAGTTATTGATTTGGTTACTATTTAATATGAGCACCTTATCTGTTTGATATTGACCCCTTACTAGATGTATGGTTTCAACTGTTTTCCCCTTACTCTGTTGATTGTTTTCTTGTGTGAGGTAATCCCACTTGTCTCTTTCACGTTTGTTACCTGTGCTTTGAGGTTCATATCCCAAATAATAACTGCCCAGACTAGCTTTTTCCTATGTTTCCTTCTATTAGATTTCACAGTTTCAAGTCTTACATTTATGTCCTGTGAGATAAAAGCCTGACTTCATATTTCTGCGTGTGGTTATCCAGTAGTCCCAACATCCCATATCAAAGAGACTGTCCTTTCTCAATTATGTGTTCTCGGCAATTTTTTCACAAATAAATTGATCAAATAATTGAAAATGAATCTTGATGTGAATGGAAGGGGAGAGGGAGCGGGAGATGGGAGGGCTACGGGTGGGAGGGAAGTTATGGGGGGGAAACCATTGTAATCCATAAACTGTACATTGGAAATCATTTTTACTTAATAAAAGTTTAAAAAAAATAAATTGATCATAAACATTCTGACTTGTTTCTGGGATCTCTATTATGTTCTATTGTGTCTATTTTTATACCAGTACAATGTTTTGATTACTATATCATTCTGTATATTTTGAGAGTAAGTAGTGTGATGCCTCCAGCTTTATTCTGTTTGCTCAAGATGGCTTGGGGATTTAAGGTTCCTGTGGTTTCCTATGAATTTCAGGATTGTTTCTTCCATTTCTATGAAAAGTGTTACTGGAATTTTGATAAGAATTTCATTGAATCTATAGATTGTTTGGGTAGGATGGACATTTAAAAAGTATTACTAATTATTCCAATCCAAAGTCATAAAATATCTTTCCATTTATTTGTGTCTTCCTCCATTTCCATTATACAAGTTTTTCACCCCCCTGATTAATTTTTTCATATTTTTGGTAGCTATTGTGCATGGAGTTTTCTTCATGCCTCTTTTGGACAGTTTGTTATCAGTGTGTAGAAACTTGTCTAGTCTTTGTTGCTGATTCTTCATCCTGCAACTTTACTGAATTTATTTTTGGTGCTAACAATTGGAGGAGGAGTATTCAGTGTCTTCTACATGTAAGATTATTTCACATGCAAATAAGGACAATTTAACTTCTTTCTTTCTGATTTTATTGCCGTTTTATTTCTCTCTTGCCTAATTGCTCTGGCTGGGACTTCTACTACTATGTCAAATAATGATACAATTAGGCATCCTTGTCTCATTCCTCATCTTAGAGGGAAACTTTCAATGTTTCCCCATTAAGTATGATGTTACCTGTGGATTGGTCATATATGGTTTTCATCGTGAAGTGGTACAGTCCTTCTTCCACTTTCACTAGCTTGTTGACAGCTTTTATCCTAAAACAATGCTGAATTCTGTCCAATGCTTTTTCTGCATCTTTCAAGGTGATAATACAGTTTTTGTCCTTAATTCTGTTAATGTGATATATCATATTTACAGACTTCCCTGTGTTGAACCATCCTTGCATCTCTGAGATAAGTCCCACTCTGTGATGACCCATGATCCTTTTCATGCACTATTGAATCCCATTTGCTAGTATTTCATTGAGAATTTTTGCAATCACATTCGTCAGGAATATTGGCCTGTAATTTTCTTTCACTGCAGTATCCTTGTCTGGTTTTGGTTTTACAGTAATGCTGGCCTCATAAAATAAGTTTGACAGTATAGCTTCTTTTGCAATATTTTTGAAAAGTTTGAAAAGGACCGGTATGATTTCTACTATAAATTATTAGTAGAATTCAGCAATGAAGGCGTCAGGTCCTGGGCTTTCTTTGGTAAGAGAATTTTTATCAATGATTTAATTTCTTTACCCATTATTTATCTACTCAACTTTTCTATTCCTTCATGATTCAGTTTGGTGGGTTATATGTATCTAGGAATCTATCCGTTTTTCTGTATGGCTGTGTAATTGATAAAGTGACCTCCTATAATCCTTTGTGTATTTGTGGTATCAGTTTTAATGTTCTCTCTTTCATTTCTGATTTTATTTGAGCCCCCCTTTTTCCCTGGCCTAGCTAAGGATTTGTCAAATTGTTTTGTCTTCTCAAAGAGCCAACTCTTGGTTTTATTGGTCTCTCCTATTCTCTTCCTGATCCCTATGGCTTCTCTGATATTTATTATCTCCCCTCTGCTAACTTTAGGCTTAGCTGTTCTTTTCCTATTTCTAGTTATTAGAGCTATGACAACAGATTGCTTATTTGAAAACTTTCTTCTTGTAGGTATTTCTTGCTCTAAACTTCTCTCTTAGAATTGCTTTGGCTGGGGCTAGTGTTGTGGTGCAGAGGGCTAACGCCCTGGCCTGGGGCGCTGGCATCCCATATAGTCACCGGTTCGGGGCCAGGCTGCTTGGCTTCCGATCTGGCTCTCTGCTGTGGCCTGGTCCTTGAACCCCTGCACCACGTGGGAGATCCGGAGGAAGTTCCTGTCTCCTGGCTTCAGATCAGCGCAGTCAGCTGGGGAGTGGGCCATCGGATGGAGACCTCTCTCTCTTTTTTAAAATTTATTTATTTATTTGACAGAGTTAGACAGTGAGAGACAGAGACAGAGAGAAAGGTCTTCCTTCCATTGATTCATCCCCAAAATGGCCACTACAGCCAGAGCTATGCCGATCTGAAGCCAGGAGCCAGGTGCTTCCTCCTGGTTTCCCATGCAGGTGCAGGGGCCCAAGCACCTGAGCCATCCTCCACTGCCCTCCCGGGCCACAGCAGAGAGTTGGACTAGAAGAGGAGTAACTGGGACCAGAACCTGGTGCCATATGGGATGCTGGTACCGCAGGTAGAGGATTAACCAAGTGAGTCACAGCGCCGGCCCCTGTATCTATCTCTATGTCTCTCTCTCTCTCTCTCTCTCTCTCTGCATCTTCTCTCTCCGTGTAACTCTTCAGATAAATAAATAAATCCTTAAAAAAAAAAAAAGAATTGTTTTGGCTGCTGCCACAGATTTTGATATGTCAGTTTCCACTTCATTTGTCTCAAGATACGCTTTAATTTCTTCATTGACCCAGTGATTATTCAGGAGCATGTTGCTTCATTTGAATTTTATCTCACATGGAGATAAGAACCTGGAGTAAATACAGCTGGGGACCTTCCCCCTCTCCCCACCACAGCAGTTGGAGTCATTTTTCTTTCTTTTTTTTAAAGATTTATTTATTTATTTATTTGAAAGACGGTGACAGAGAGGGAGAGACAGAAAGATCTTCCACACTCGTGCACTCCCCAAATTCTCGCAACCACTGAAGCTAGGCCTGGCGGGCCTCAAGTCAGAAGCCTGGAACTCCATCTGGGTCTCCCATGTGAGTGCAAGGTCCCTAGTGCTTGAACCATCTTCTGCTGCTTTCCCAGGTGTGTTAGCAGGAAGCTGTATCAGAAGCAGAGCATCTGGGACTCAAACCAGCACTGGGTCACAGGATGCTGGCATCACAATGGGCAGCTTTGCCTGCTGCACCACAACACCAAGCCCTGGAGTCATCTTTTCCATGAGTACCCAACAGATACATCAAAGAGCACCAATGTCCTTCACGCTGGTCTACACTGGCCAGGGCACACTTCTATAGCTCCCAACTACCCACATCAGAAAGCCTCCCTTCTGACGCCCACAGCCTCACTGATGCTTCCTAAGCCTCTTCCAAGCCAGGTCTCTTCTCAGCAGCAACCCCTACCGAGAGGCAGCTGAGCCTAGCGAAAACAGCACACCTGGGTTAAGGGAGCCCAGTTTGAATGCAGCTCTCCTCAGCAGCTGCAGGAACCTCCATCAGGTTATCCAACTTCCACAAGTCTCTGTTTCCTGAACTCTAAAGCAAGCTGACCACACCCAGTGCCACGAGGAATCAGAGGTCACCCAGGTAAAGAGCTGCCCACAATACCCACACAGTGCACTGGAACTGTCCGTTTTATTATGACTGCATTGTCTCATTGTGTTGGCCTCGCATTTCCATGAACTCCTCTCTTCCCTCAGCTTTCTGTTGCCCCCAAGTTACCCCTCACCCCTTTCTCCATATTTCCAAGTCATCTTCTCCTATGGAATGAATTGTGCCCCTCACTCACAAACTCATACATTGGAGTCTCAACCTCCAGTATAACTGCATTTGAAGATAGGGTTTTTATAGAGGTATTGGTGGCTAAATAAGGTCATAGATATGGGGCCCTGCTCATATAGGATTAGTGTCCTTAAAAGAAAAGATATCAGAGAGCTTATATTGTTTCTCTCTCCTTTGCTCACACACATGAAGGAAAAGATATCTGAAGAAAAATGATTCATATAGAAATCTAGATTTACACAAAGGACCAAAAAGCACTGAAAATAGTAACTGTGTGGGGAAATACAAAAAACAAAACAAGTGTCAACAAATTTTCAAGTATTTAAGTCATACAGAATGAATTCTGTGATTACCATGCCATCAGATTAGCAATCAACAATAGAAAGATATCTGGAACATCACCAAATTTTTGGAACCTAAATAACACACTTCTGAGTAACCCATTGGTCAAAGAATACATCAAAA